GTCTTGAAAGTTGTCATTGTTGTCACCCACAAACCAGTAGAAGAAATTGGAGAATGTTGACAGTGTGATCGACCATCGGAGCCCTGAAAGTAAGTATTCATGCAAGAAACTATTTATGTAAACATCGAGGAAAAATTATATATAGATAAACGGAGACTAAGGAACAACCCAGAGGCGTTACAAAATTAATAAATAAGGAAAAACTTACGGATAAGACTGGATTCCGATTTTGTGGGGGAGTTGAATATTGGCTTAGATTTCCTAAGAAATTTGCTATAACTGCATCATTTTCGTCCTCACCACCTCCATCAGTGTTTACCGATGTTGCTGCCGCTGGCATTGGCCCATTTCCAGGAAATGGCAACATATAATGAGGCTCTGCCGCAGGCTGGCCATTGCGGGCAAATGAAGCGATGAGTTCTGTTTTAAATGCTGCAAGCATTGCCTCAACGGACGCAACAATGGATGCTTGGCACTGGACTGATGACCTTGAGACCTCTTTCACGGAAGCAATCGCATAATCAACTTTATTATCAAGCCTCTGAATTTCAGGTCTCAGAATTGAAAGAACAACCGAGGTAATATTTTCTTCATCGAATTCCTCTCTACCGTATTAGTTGCCTTGCCTTGTCTTTTTTTAACTGTAACTTTAGATTTTCCCGCATCTTCTCTACATCGGCTTTCGTTTCACCAAATTTGAACATATCCTTTGACAAGACATAGTTCGAGAGAATGAGCCTAACCAGGTTCTCTACTTTAATATCGACAACTTCGTCTGCCCAAACAAATAAGGACTCTTCCATTGCCCATTGAGGGTCTTCCGGAATGATACTCCTTACTACAACCTGTACAGAATAAACAAAGGACCAGACAACAAATTAATATAGAGACATCGATTCTCATTTCATAGAATTTAAAACTATAAATTGGAATGCAAAAATCAATGAATACATCTGCTTTTTTCTGTCAACCTCACGTGCATGAACATGATTCAATGTCTGCTTCTATGTCTTGGTTACCGGACATTCATTCTCGTCTTCATCACTTTCTGAGTCCAATGAGGGACATGCTACTTGAACCATTTCTGTCAAAGAAGGGACAGCTTCTACAATAATGAGTTGAAGAACTAGAGCAAAACCTTACAGTGCTATGGTATTTTGAGAAAAGGATATCTCATCCCTCTTTTTAATACTTGTCATCAGCATATCAAACGCTAGACAGCCCCATGGAAAAGCAAAATAAACTCGTCAATATCTTCAAGCAGATCTGCATGTTCCATAAGCATCTTCATTTCAGATTTGTCGACAACAAGACAGAGGAGACGATAGCTAGACATGCAAGTTTCATCCGGATTTCTGGATCTGTTACGTTTCTCTTACGGAGCATCTTTACAGCCTTGGAGACTCGCATCTCTTCGACACTACCAAATAGCTCCGGCCAATATGGTATCTCGGAAATATTTTTCTTCCTCTTCAAGCTCTGTTTTTCGGAGATTCACCGCATGGTAGCCACATCACAATAAAAAAATCCCGTAGGGAAAACCTAATAGGCTTTCCTGCGAATCAGAACCAAGCTTTATGTTTCTTCTCGACCTTCAGCTGCCTCGATAGTAGAAAACGAGCAAATATCCCGGAGAAGGCTGGTTTTTCAGCAATATCGACAATCTTACCGAACGATGACTCTCTCAAGGACTGGATCTCGTCTTCCTTCAGCACATTAAGGATGGTGTTGATAGACTGGGAGGATTGGTATGTAAGAACTCTAACACCGATGGGTTCCTCGCCGTCGGCGAACATTATCTCCGGTATAGCGACTTTGGATTCACCGGATTCACCGGTCTCGTCGACAACATCTTCTGGGAAATCAACTAATCTGCACGAGACCATTTCAACTTGTTTGTAAATATCAATATTGAACGAGATTTAGGGTGATTGTTGCATAACCCTATTTTATAAACAGAACCAACTTATGGATTTTTGCAGAGAATAAAAAGAGTATTTGCATAAAAAGATAAATGTTGGTTTTCAACATTTCCGAGATTTTGATCATTATTACATGATAGGTATGAACCATTTATCTCTCCCACGCCTGAAGCTATGTTTCATAGGGAAGTAGGGACAGTTTTGGTATTATTTGAAAGTGCACATGAGCTTGTCCATTTACCTAATTAAAAATGTTTTTGTTGTTATCTACCGCAATTTCCCTTAACTTTAATTTAAGAAAAGAAAAATTATTTACAATATTATTGATTTTATTTTAATGATTGTAATAATTAAACTAGGCCCTAATTTAAACTGATTAATCTCGAACAATATATTTTAAAATATTTTATATAGATTTTGTTAGAAACAAATATTCTTTTCTGTCTCAAATATAAAAATAAAATATTTTACCTATTAAAAACTTTGCTATTAAAATAAAAGTCATAACTTATTTAATGTGTAATCATTTTATTTTGACCTAAATTTTAACTATCTTAAAATCATTTAATTGTAATATATTTCAGCTTAATTATAATATATTCCAATATTTTTGTTTTTATTTGACATACAAATGAATATTAAATAGAAAAACTCTAAAATGATCTTTTGATATCTTTTATAATTTATTTCCAAAATGTATTTAATTTAAATTCCAATTGTCATAAAATATCATTAGACATTAAATTAAATTTGAATGTAATTTATAAAAAAATTGGAAAATTTTATAAATATTTTAATTATATTTAATGATAATAAAACTTTAATTCATTAATATTCAAAATTTAAAATTTTGAAATATTTTAAATAAATTCTCTTGTAAACAAGAAAAATAAAAATAAAGTAGTTTATCTATTAAAATAGAAGTTATGATTTATTCCATGTGTTTTTTTTTAGTTCAGAGCATCCTTTAGAAATTTATTGAATGTATGTTTTTATACAATTAATTATATCTTAACAGTAAATTTGTATTCAATAAAATTCAATAGTAATGAGTAAGGAGATGAAGAACCAAAGAGGAGAATATTGTTGACAATAAGAGAATCCGGATACTTAAAATGAGTATCGTCCGTACAGTCTTGACTCTCAAACAAACAACCACGATCTAACTTACCTTGGAAGGTAGGGCAAAGATGTGAGCTCGTGTACTTTTGTGTCTAGAGGCCAAGAAGAATTTAAACCAAGTTGAATGTTTTAAAAATAGAGCTGTTGGAGAGAGGTAGCAGTTTTTTTATCCAGATGTCTTTTCTATGTCCTCTTTCCTTTTAAATAATGTATGCATATAATTGTTTCAGATAAAGAGAATAATTTTCTTTTTCTCTTTAATCTTTCAATTTCGCCACTCTCTCTCTCCCTCCCTCTCTCCAGGATTATACTCTTTTGTTCTTACTATGTTCTTCATTGTTCATCACACAAATCTCACGTAAATTCAATCATTTTCTTCTATTCTCCTCATATTATCACAATTCTAACATTGTATCAGAGCTTTAAGCTCGTTAACCTCATTTTGTTCCGTAAATTTACTATGTTTTTCTCTCAAAAGTTATGTATTCTTCTTCATTCTATCATCAAGTGGGTAAAAGAAACTAAACCATGGAAACATAACGGAGAAGCTTGATTCCGGTAATCCTTGAGGGTACTAACTACTATGATCAATAGTGGTCAGAGTTACCTTGGAAAGTCATAAACTTTGGAACAGCCATATCATGAAAGTTGAAGTTTCAAAGAGGATGACTCATTTACAAATGTCTATAATTACATGATTATGATTTTTTTTACAGTCAAAATATTCTTAATAAAATTTATAAATCATTTTTAAGATCTATTGTATGAGAAGACTTCGGAAGTCTTCTCTAAGAAGACTTCTCGAAAGTCTTTTCACTCGCATGGTTATCATGGTAAAACTCAATATTGATTATTTGTTTATTCATAAGAAATTGGTTGTAATTTCACTAATCGTGTACGTTACTTTGCATTTGATTGAGTTGGGGTATACATTTGTGTAGACACCGAGGCTCCGTTGTTAACTTGTTCGGCGAGAAGGTGAAGGCATCCCTCGCATAATGTGAAATGTTGCCTGCAAAGTCTCTAATGACAAAAGTACTTCTGTGAAGCTTTGCATTTCTAAAATTTGAGTGGATGTTGCATTTCAAAACATTAGAGATAGGAGGTTTCCATTTCTTGTTCTCTTCTAGCAAGCCATCTCTCCCTTGATCTTTCTTGAGCTCATTCCAAACACTAGCGTCCTCACACGCTAGTTGAGTTTGTAAATCTAGAGAGACATGGGTGTCAGCATACAAGATTGAGTTTCTGTTTTTCCATATGGTCCATAAGGTCCAAGGGATCGACTGTCGCTTAGCCAACATGATTGTTTCATCATCTCTCAACTTGCGGTGGAAAGATAACATTCCCACTAAATGAGAATTTGAATGCTGAGGAGAATAATGAAAACCCACATGGACCAAACATCAAGCGCAATAGGACAATTGTAAAGAACAAGGACAATGGTTCCAGAACCTGTCAAGCAGAGTTTGCAGCCCATGTCTAGGTTCATCCCACGATTGCTTAACCTTTCAGCTACAACCAGCGTCCCGAAGCAACCCTCTATAGGAAGCTGTGAATCTTTGAAAATTTCTTGTACGCCTTTCTTCTGTTGTCTGCATTAATAAATCGCTTTTTCTAAAGACTTTTGAATTTGAATTTCCTTTAATCTGCATAAAAATTGCATAGTCTAGAATTCGAACTCCAGACCTGGGTGTAGTAGCATTTAAACCTTAACCAAAAATTGCTTTAAAAACTACAATTCAAACATATTTCTACTGCAGGATGCATCTAAAGAAAATCTCCGTTTAAACTTAATTCGGTGGCTATAGGAAACATTATGATTTGTTTGTGAATTAACATAAGGAATAAGAGAAACCCTTTAGTTAGGAATTATTTGTCGAAATCTTTCAAACTCTATACATAATCAAAGACTCATCATATGTCAATTCCATGATCACTTAATGTGGATCATGCATTCTAGCTTATGTTTAGGTTACGATGTCTCCCTTGGTCTCCAACTGTAGCTATGATGAACACCCAGAAGATGGCACACATAGCACCCATAACTGATAAGAGGAGAAAACCTCTGTTTCCGTTACCCTTCTTTGTTACGGTAACTTTGCTAGCAGTCACTGACGTCCCTTGGAACCTGATGCGGCTCAAGCTAGACATACGAACAAAGGTCCTATTAAGTGGACCCTCACAGGCAGATGCTGGTGTTGAAGGTATTGAGTCCAGCAATGCCCACATAGCTGATGAGAACTGGCTCCTTGTTTCACCACCATTTTGGCATTCCTGGTCTTGGCTAGTTACACTCATAGCAGGATTTTTGGATTCAGGAATCACACCTAGACAAATTGGTTTCACCAAGTATCAGCGGAAGGGCTTAAAGGTTATTACATATAAAGATTTATACAAGAGGGTTTGATAAGTAGAGAGTATCATACATAATACATGTCTTGGTTCAGGTGCAAGACTAATGCAGAAAATCATTAGCTTTTAGTGGGAAAATAACTTGGTGAGACGGGAAAATGAGTCGCAGTACCTGATGAAGGTGAAGCAAACGCTAGAGAAGAAGATCGTGGTTGATCATAGAGATCAGCCTGAGCATCTTTAAACCACATATCGTCAATGAATTGATTGACATTTGGGGTCTTGTTCTGAAACTGTTGTTGATAAAGGATATGCTGTCTTCCGTCGTCATTAGCAAAATTACTCAAAGAAGTCAGATCTGTCGAAGTTCCCTGAAACAGAGGTTCTAAATCGAAAGACATGGAAACGTCATGGAACAATTGGTCGTAGTCATTAAAGTGTTCATATTCACCAGGGTTCAAGAACTGTGCAGGCTTCTCAACTGAAGCAGCTCCTTGTTCAGGGGTGAGAAGATCATCCATTTCAATGTAATCCTCCTTCTCAAACACGAAAGGTGCAATACCAGAGGTCTTGAAAGCTGACTTGACCTCACTACCATCTAATGAGTTAGCTGCATGGGGCTGATAACTCGAGTGCATACTGTTTGGCTGATAATTTGGCAAGAACACTCCAGTTTCCAAGGGGGAAAGAAACTCTCCAGAAGAATTATTCAGCAACGTGCTCTGTATCTCTTCTTCGCTATTAACCTGCATGTACAAGTATCTATTTAGTAAGGGAAGCCCTACAAAATGAGGCATATGAAACCATATTAAAAAAGAGAAGAAACTGACTTGCATAACAGCAGAAAGCTCATTCAGTTGTCTTCGAGCAACCCCTGGTGCATATGGGATTGCGTTGAGAAGCTTGTTGAGATCATCTGACTGAACATTGACAGGATTGCAAAATACACCATCTCCTATACGACGGTTATTCTCATATTGGACCACATGCTCATCCGGTACAGTAACATTATCTGCCTCTTCTCTATCATCATCATCGACCCATTCTTCTTCTTGGAACGGAGCACCATACTCTTCGCCGTTTTTGGGACCAGCCCCACTTTTCTTGTACAGCTTATAAAGAGCATAATACTCCTGAGAAAAAAAGGCAGATTAGTTAATTACATATGAACGAAAGAGGCCACCATATAGTGTTGAGTTATTAAAAAAATAATAATACCTTGGCGTTCTTACATCTGCTGAGTTCTTCTTCATCCATGGTATACTCGTGCATCACCCAGTCAGTACGTTCACCATTAGGTGCACGACCTCTATAGAAAACAAGAGTCTTTTTGAGTCCTACCGATCTCGAGTTGTACACAATGATTCTATCCTTCCCTGTTGCCTTCCAATAACCAGTTGCTGTGCCTCTACTCGATCTAGCTGCGTTTGGATACTTCCTGTTCCTTGGAGTAAAGTAGAACCACTGCCTATCTCCAGATTTCAACACCGATAGACCTGCCTCACACAGATTGTTCAGTTCCGTTAGAAAACTAATTTCAACGTAACTCTGTGAATAGAATATGCTAGAAATCATAGAAAATAAAATCATTTTGAACATAAGAAAGATCAAAGCTTATACACGTGAACTGGGATACAATCGTTACTTTTTCATCAAGTCAAAGAATCATTATCAACAAGCAAATGTGATTAATCCGGAAACTACAAAAACCTAAAAGTCAATAACCATTTAGGTAATGTAAGAAAGCAAACAAAGAACCAACGTAACTAAACAGGCAAAGAAAAAAGAGACGGAAAAATACCAGGCAAGTCGGTAGGATCCACTTTGTAGACATCAACGACACCGATAGCATTGATTCTAAGCTTTCTCCCACAGATCTTCCTCTTCAGATAATACACCACCAACTCCTCATCGGTAGGGTGAAACCGGAAACCTGGTGCGCTGAATCTACCTCCTTCCAAACACGAATTCGCCATCTCCGACAAAGAACCTGTCTTTCAGACCAAATAAAAAGAATCGATACGGGTCAACGAGAAGCAAACCCTTTTACAGAACAGAACAAACGTGGTCCCCTTCTTCTCTTCTCCTCTCACAGTCAAGTGAAGAGAGCCAATCAAACCTACATAACAATTAACACAGGGCACGATCTTAAGAAACAAGAGGCGACAATTAAGGGTTTATGATTGGCGAGGAAAATAATTTGTTTGGTTCGGTCAATGAGGCGATAGTGTGGTTCTAATATTCTAGGGTTTTTGGTCAGCTTTTTTGACAATATGAAGTTTCCAAGAACCTACATCCTGCTGGGCTTAAATTACGACTGAGGGCCCACAGTTCTGACTTTCAATCTTTGACTTTATCGACAGAACTGGAATATTCCACTAGTATAAAAGAAAGAAAAATTGAGAGAACAAGTCTTGGAGAGTTTAACGAAATATGGTGTAGAAACAAGTCATAGTTTATCATTGGAGAGTTGAATGAGATTACATCAAATCATGAGAAGGAGGGGGACTCTTTACGGAGTGCAAAATCATTCCTATCTTTTAATAATATGATCATAAATTTGGGGTTATTAGAGTTTCCAATTTGAGAAAACAAAATAACTTGGCAAGGCAGACTATAGATTGGATAGGGTGTTAGCAGATGAGGAATGGTATTCGTTATTCCCATGTTCATACTCCAAATATCTTGGAATGCTTAGCTCAGATCATAGACCAATTGTAGCATTCCTCGAAGAAAAAAATCCCAAAAGACTAGGATAGTTTTGGTTCAACAAAAGATGGATTAGACAAGATGATTTTATGGAATCGATTGATAGAGGTTAGGTGATGCAGAGTGGTGATGGGTCAGAGGATTTTGTTACAAGAATTAGTAATTGCTGGCATGAAATTCCTAAATGGAGGAAAAATAATCCTTCATATGAAAATGAAAAGATAAGTGAATTACATCAAGCATTGGAAGAGGTGCAATCTGATAATAGCATGACTTAAGAGGACATAATTGAGGTATCCCAAAAATTACAGAAGGAAAATAAAGATGAAAAGGATTATTGGCAATAAAAGAATAGGAATATGTGGAATACAGCTGGAGACCTTAATGCAAAGTTCACGCACTAACCAAACAAAGACGAGCTACTAACAGAATTGTAGGTCTACACAATAAGAACTGCGAATGGATATCAGAGGACAATGGAGTGAAAAAAGTAGCAGTGGAATATTTTGAAAATTTAAAATTTATTTCTTACTACTTCCCCCCCCCCACTGAATTAGAAGGTTTTTTTGGACTAGATTCCAACATCTATTACTCACCAATGAATCATCGACTTATTAGGATGGCAACGCAAGTGGAAGTGTGGCATGTTTTATTTATGATGCATCGAGATAAGGTGTCTGGACCAGATGGAATGACAACACTTTTTTTTCAACATTCGTGGCATATAATAAAGATGGATTTGCTGGAAATAATCAATGACTTTTTGATTACTGGAAGCTGGACACAAGGCTAAATATTACAAATATTTGTCTCATCCCTAAGACGGAGAGGCCTACATGGATGACGAAGATGCGTCTGATTAGTCTTTGTAATGTGGGATACAAGATTATTTCCAAGGTCCTATGTCAGAGGTTAAAATCTTCTCTTCCCAGACTCATTTCGAAAACTCAATCGGCGTTTGTTCCTGGGTGATTAATATCGGATAATATTCTCATTGCTCAGAAAATATTCCAGGGGTTAAGGGTAAATAAATCATGTCAGAGTAAGTTCATGGTAATAAAGACATATATGAGTAAAGCGTATGATTAAGTTGATTGGACGTTTATTCAGGCTCTTCTGCATAAAATGGGTTTCGATCCCCAATGGATTAAACTGATGATGGAATGTATCTCATCATTGTAGTATAGAGTATTGTTAAATGGTCATCCACGAGGCCATATTTTGCCTTAGAGAAGGCTCTGATAAGGGGACCCCTTATCCTCATCTTTGTTTATTATGTGTACGGGGGCGCTAATTACAAATATTAGGAAAGCGGAAAGACATAAACAACAGACTGGAATGAAGGTTGCACGTGCCTGCTCATCAACTTCACATTTTCTTTTTATAGATGATATCTTATTATTTTGCAAGGCAACAACAGAGGAAGTATCTACTATTCTCATAAAACTGAAGGACTATGAGGCAGTGTCTAGTCTGCTGATAAAGTTCCAAATATCTTCAATCCAATTTGGTTTTAAGGTTGAGGAATCTTTGGGACATGAGCTTTGAGATTTTCTAGGTATCCAGAATATAAGAGGAATGGGTTTGTACCTTGGTCTACATGAAAGTTTGGGAGGTTCAAAGACACAAGTTTTTGGTTTTGTTCAGGATCATCTAAAAAAGACTAAATGGTTGGACCTTTAGATATTTTTCTAAAGGAGGAAAGGAGGTAGTGATCAAGTCGGTAATCACTTCATTACCAAATCATGTTATGTCCTATTATAGGATTCCAAAAACTCTGATTTCAAAGTTACAAATTTTGATGGCTTAATTTTGGTGGAGTCCAGAAGGAAGTACGAGAGGTATGCATTGGAAATCTTGGGATAAAATTTGCACAGGTAAGGAGGAAGGAGGCTTGGGATTTAAAGATTATCGGATTTTAATACGGCCATGTTAGGAAAACAATTCTGGCAATTGATCCAGAAACCTAATACACTATTTTCTCAAGTATTTAAAGGACGGTATTTAGGAATGCTTCAATCTGGAATTGATGAGAACAAACGTTTGCCGATGGTTCAACTTTTTGGCCAAATACCCCACATTTGTTTTCGTCTACAAATGGTAAATGATATATATATTTTTTTCTTATTTTAGATTTTTATTAATTGTAATTAGTGGAACTTTTAATTTTTTAAGGCCACAAAAGGACGAATTGCTACCATCTCTTTCAAGCCTTTTCCAGGCTACACAAGACATGAGATGGTTTTCTACTGGATCCATGGTCAAAGAAGCTTCACAATGACGTTGTTGCTTGGATTGAAGACCGCCAGACTCAGCTGATGCAGTAGTCTCCGGAGGGTTGCTGGTCCAGTTGTCCACACAAGATGTGGACAAGATATTTGAAGAGGTTAAATTTCAAAATTTAATATATAACTTTAATTTTTTAATTTAAATATCATATAATTTATATTTTTTTTATTATTGAGTGGTCTCTACAAAATGGTCAGATGTTGATAATAGGATCCGTTAACGATGTCTCATGGGTATCGTCCTATTCTCAAAGATGGGATGAAGAGACCTCTCAGCTGCAGTCTTATTTGGATGTGAGTCAAGCTCATTTGGAGTCCATCAAATGTCTTCTCGACTTTTTTGGAAGTTGGAAACCCTCACATGGAGACGTTGTTGCATATTAGACGGCTGGAACTCAGGCTTCGAGATCCACTAGCTTGTTCCGCAGAGGAGGCATAGTTAAGTGAGAAGGAGAAGCACAAACTACTTCGACCCAGACATCCTCAACGCTTTCTTTGTTTTGTATATTACAAGTTCAAATATTTTATTTATAAAATTATTTTTCATAAATTTTCTATTATTTTATAATTTAAATTATTTTAAAGTTTATTATCTTTGAAAACTAAAAATACAACATCCAAAGTATATTCTTAGTTACATATACAAGGACTTTACGAGTAAGTGCATATTAACTCCAGGTAAATGTTATAATGAATTTACGCGTAAATCCACGTAAATTCATGATAATGTCGTACGAGGAATTAATATATGCTTTCTTGTAATTTTTTCATAGAATTTACATATCTTGGATGACGAATTAATTTCAAAGTTTACGAGAACTTTACATCAAAAATTTATGAGTTGTTTCCGATAGATGTCGAATTTACTACAAAATATTTTGCATGGTTTTTACGAGGAAATACTATGCCTGGTATATACGACGTGTTGAAAAAAAAACAAAAGGCATATGCGACCTAAGTGTTACGAGGATTCTAAGACGAATTGTCCATTGCTGTTAATTCGTCGTAATGCTCCACTTACTTTGAATTAATAACAATATCGGTTGTCTTGTAGTGCTAATCCCGTATCAAACTTGCCTGCCACCATCTCCCAATCACTACCGTACTCTTTTCTTTGACTGAAGCTCTTATTCGGATCTGAGGAGTTTTGGAGAAGAATTTAACATTCCTCCACAAGGCCAATTGAATAATAGGATTCGGCCCACTAGCATCAAAAGGCCAGTCAAAGATCAGCTCAGCTAACAGGCCGATCAGCTCAACTTATGCACCTCAGTACATGGAACCAGACCGGAATGGAGATCAAGCCGCTCAGCACAGTTCAACCGAGGTTTGCTCGTCCGACCGTACCGATCAGACTGACCGTGATGTGTACGCTTAGAACGGAGCTAAGGCTGAACTGACCGTACCACAGACCGTATTTCCCGTCCAAATCTCCAAGCTAAGACTGATGGCCGAGCCAGAATAAACTTGACCCAAGATCTCTCTTTTGGCTCGTTTGGTCTGTACCGCATGCACCGACGGATGTTCTCACAAACTGACCGGCGAGTTTGATCAGTACATGAACTTTGATCATCTAAGTTTCTCTAAGGCAAGGATGCTCCAACTGTCTGAAAGACTTGGCTCACGTTTGGACCAGTCTTGTTCGTGAAGATCACCCGACGAACCAAAACGATCGTCCCGTGTGCGTCCTTCTCCTTTCCGCCAAGACTAGCTGGGTACCGAGGAGTCACTTTAACTAGTCCAAGTAGGCGAAGGGTTTCTTTGACCAGTTATGGAACCGAAAATATTTATTCTTTATTCATCATAAAACTGATGATGCCGTGCAAGTTGCTGATTTATTCTTTAGAGACATTGTTATGGTGCACGAAATGCCTAAGACCATTGTTTTAGATTGTGATGCTAAGTTCCATAGTTATTTCTGGAAAACTTTGTGGTCTAAGTTAGGTAGGAGATTGATGTTTTCCACCACTTGTCACCCA